GGGATCTCCTACAGCTGATAAACACCTTCAGCAAAGTGGCTGGATACAAAATTACACCCCCCCCCCAAATATCAGTAGCCCTCCTGTATACAAAAGACAAAGGGGCTGAGAAAGAAATTAGGGAAACGACACCCTTCACAAAAACCACCAATAACATAAGTACACAAGTACACACAAGTACCTTGGTGTGACTCTAACCAAGGAAGTGAAAGACTTGTTTGAAAAAAAATTCAAGTCTCTGAAGAAAGAAATAGAAGAAGATATCAGAAGATGGAAAGATCTCCCATGTTCATGGCTTAGCAGGATTAACATAGTGAAAATGGCCATCCTGCCAAAAGCAATGTACAGAGTCAATGCAATTCCTGTCAAAATACCAACACAATTCTTTGCAGAACTTGAAAGAACTATCTCAATTTCATACGGAAAAACAAAACAAAACAAAAGAACAGAATTGCTAAAACAATCCTGTACAACAATAGATCTTCTGGAGGTATCTCAATCCCTGATCTCACACTGTACTACAGTGCAATAGTAATAAAAACTTCATGGTACTAGCATGGAAACAGTATGGTGGATCAATGGAATTGAATAGAAGACCAGAAATAAACCCTCACATCTACAGATACTTGATTTTTGACAAAGAAGCCAAAACCATATAGTGGAAAAAAAAGACAGCATCTTCAACAAATGCTGCTAGTCACTATCTGGTTTCAATCCAGACATTGCATTGTGATATTTATTCTAAGTGTCACCTGTCTCAAGTCTGTGTAAACATGCCACCATTTGTTCTCTGTATTGTCAATAAAACAACTAGCCAATGCTGAAAAATGGAGAGAATAGAGTGGGACATCCTGGTCCAGTGAGGAAGAGAAGGAAGCAAGGGGGAGGAGGCAGACAGGAGATCGAGAGAGTACTTGGAATCACGAGGAGAGATGAACTGGACCTAAGATATGGCTAAAAGCAAGTATAATGTGGGAAATCTGAATGGGAGGAAACTATGTGGGCTTGGAGGTTAAGGATGGAGTAATTATTGCCCAGCATTGTGCTCTAGATTAATTAAATAAACCCTGGTCTCTATGTGGTGATTTGGGTATACAGCTGGCTTAGGAATAACCACTGTTTAACTAAAATATAAATCAATAATAAATATTAATCTTCAACAACAAAGAATTAAGAAAATAAATTTTAATAAAGTAACAATTATTTGTAGTTCATTATTTGTATGTTTTGAATATATTTAGATATTTCTTTTCCTGTTACCTATATAGATCCTTTGACCATTTTCCCATTACACAAATTATTTATTATTTCTGTATTTTGTTGTGCAGGGAATGAAAACAGATGCTTATGAACGATAGGGTGTCAGTCCCTTTACCTCTGAGCTCTGTTGCGAGCTACATAGTGATATTTTAAGACCGTCACTTCTGTTCACTTCTGCCCACGTCTGAGATCCCAAGCACACAACTTTGAAATCTGGTGGAGCCGAGCTGATGTCACTTCCAGGCCTATAGGCCCTCCTTGTCTTCCCTATTTTCAGACAATTGATTTGGGTTCAAGCTGCTGGGGATGTGCGATGCTGCCCTGCTTAACAACTACAGATTTTAGAAAAGCTACTTTCTTGACTTTCATTTCATCCAGCTTGCTATATGTACATTACAGGTTTCATGTCTAATTTTCCAAATCTCACAATAAAACCATTAGCATTTTGACAACTCAGTTACCTTTAGATTGGACCTAAATGAGAATGTGTCAAGATAGAAGCTTTTCTGAAACTTGTTAATCTTTTTTTTTAACCTTAAAGAAAGGGTGGAAATTGGTTAAAAGTGGTAATGAAGGGCTATAAGGGGAAGGCAAAAGATACCTGAACTCTTATTGATACATAGATGCATGTAGTGTTTTGCATAAATCCAACCCCTCTCTTACTGTCTCACCACCACCTTCCCTTCACAATTCTATGTTGTTGTTTTGAGCCTGCTGAGTGCACTTAGTGCTGCCAACACGTGCATGGGTCTAGTGCCATCCACTAGAACATGTGTAGCCTATGAGGAGTTACAACCAGGAAGAAAATTAGCACATTCCCTCTGTCAGCAGCCATGAACTGCCAGCAGCTTATGGTGATGGGTGGGACTTTGTGAACTTCATTTCCATCCATGCCGGATTGCAGCTGGCTTCATCTTGTGCAGGTTTTGAATTTGCAGCTACAGATGCTGTGAGCTCATTGTGCAATGGCGGCACTCTCAAGTCCAGCAAACACTGTTTTACAGCTGTCTTCCACGAGATTGCTTCTAAGGCCTGATTTATACGATGAAACTCATACCCAGTACTGTGATGAAACTCAGACCCAGTACTGTTAACTTGGCAAGAACATGTAGGACCTACTATTATCACTCCATTAAACTGTCCCTAAATAATTACCTTTATACTCAGAGATTGGTGTCCATCTCGTCCCTCAGCAGAGAGGCTTCTTTTTGCAATAGGTCGTGATTACTATAGAGAATCAGAATTAGTCACTGTGCAGAAAACGAGGGACTGCAGAGAGAGTGGCAGTACACTGTATGTGGAGGATATTTTTTCTCATTTATTTATTTTATTCACTTTACATCCTTGTAGCCCCTTTCCTCCTCCCCCCAGCCTTACCCCCTCCTCTCACTCCTTTCCCTCCTCCCCTTTTCCTCAGAAAATGTGAACTTCCTTTCCCATCCACCCCAGCTCATCAAATTGCATCAGGACTGATCTTGAGTCCTCTTCTCCTGTGGCCTGTCAAGGCAGTGCCACCAGGGGACAGTGATGTGAAAGCAGGCAAGTGAAGCCATGTCCGATGCAGTCTCCACTTCACTTCCTAGAGGACCCACACGAGGCCTAAGCTGGCCATCTGCTACATCTTTGTAGGGGCCCTAGGTCCAGTTCATGTATGTTCCTTGGTTGATGCTTCAGTCTTAGCAAACCCCTCTGGGCCCTGGTTAGTTGGCTCTGTTGTTTATCTGTTGTTGTGGAGCTCCTGTCAATTCTGTGTTCTTTTCTGTTTTCTCCCACTGTTCCCCAAGAATCCCTATGCACTGACCAATGTTTAGTTGTGAGTCTCAGCATCTGTTTTGAGATGCTGCTAGGTAAAGCCTCTCAGAGGACAACTCTGACAGGTTCTTGTCTGCAAGCTTAGCAGAGTATTGTTCATAGTGTCAGGGGTTGGCATTCTCTGATAGAGTGGGTCTTTGGTTGGGCCAGGCATTGGTTAAGCATTCCCTCATTCTCTGCTCTATCTGCGACATCTTTGAATTCTTTACATGTTCTGAATATTATTCTCCTGTCAGGTCAATATTTGGCATCAATTTTGTTCTCTCTTAGGTTGCCTAATCATTCTATTGTTCTGTTTTTATGTAGAAGATTGCAAATAACATATAATTCCACTTGCCACTTCTTGCTATTATTTTCTGGGCTTGCAGAGTGCTATTCAGAAAGTTCTTAATTATGCCTTTGTCTTGAAATACTTTCCCACATGAGGTATTTTTAAATAATTACTATCCATAGTTTAATCCAAGGGCTTAAGAATTTGAGGGTGGAGCTAAGACATTAGCCTGTTTAAATGACATCCAGGTGATCACATCACACTGTCAAGACCTGCTAACTTCTGCATTAATTAAATGATCTATAATATTAGAAATGAGAAGCCAATGCATCATATGGTCCAGGTAATACTTTTTCTTATGGATGTTACACCATTCTTTTTTTTTAATTCTTTATTAATTACACTTTATTCACTTTGTATCCCCCCTGTGGTTCCCTCCCTCCTCCCATCCCAATCCCTCCCTTCCTCCACCCTCTGCATGCATGTCCTTCCCCAAGTCCACTGATAGGGGAGGTCTTCTTTTCCTTCCTTCTGATCTTAGTCAATTAGGTCTCATCAGGAGTGGCTGCATTGTCTTCTTCTGTGGCCTGGTAATGTTGCTCCCCCCTCAGGATTTGGTAATTAAAGAGCAGGCCAGTTCATGTCAGAGGCAGTTCCTGTTCCTATTACAGTGGAACCCACTTGGATACTGAACTGCCATGGGCTACATCTGTGCAGGGGTCTTAGGTTATCTCCATGCATAGTCCTTGGTTGGAGTATCAGTCTCAGGAAAGACCCCTGTGCACAGAGCTTTTGTTTCTGTTGCTCTCCTTGTGGAGTTCCTGTCCTCTCCAGATCTTACTGTTACTCACTTCACACCATTCTTTAAAAAAGAGTTCTTGGGGGCTGGAGAGATGGCTCAGTGGTTAAAATCACTGGCTACTCTTCCAGAGGTTCTGAGTTCAATTCCCAGCAACCACATGGTGGCTCATTAGCCATCTATAATATGATCTATGCCTTCTTCTGGTGTGCAGGTGTACATGCAGATAGAGCACACACATACATTACATAAATAAAATTAAAAAAAAAAGAAAATTTATGTTTGAAGTGACAACAGTGGCAGACCAGGGGTTCCAGTCATACTTCCTTGACAAACCTCTACCACAAGCTCATTACTTTGTGATGCTTTTGAAAAGTAGCAGCCCCATCTAGGGTGGTTAAAACTCTACTGTGAGCTGCTAATCACAGACTCCATTATACACAATGCCCTGTACAAAGTTTGAGAAGCTCTTAAATATCACACACCAGTTCTCTCTATACATTTCCACCTAGAAAAAACAGAAATTAAAGTGCTGGTGAGCCAAAAACTACAATAAACACAGTTTATTGTGTTTATTGCATTCTTTAGTCAAGACCAACTGCTTTTATATATTATTTGATAAGTTGTGGTTTAGTTCTTTATGGCCTAAAAAAAGCTGATATAGTTATATAACATATGATCTCCAAAAAAATTTTACTTGTGACATAACACTTGAAAGTTTCTTAGGATTTTTTTTTTTTTATGACTAGAAACTAGAGAATCAGAATCTTGTTGGAATAACTGTTTTCTGATCAGAAAGACAAAATCATGCATACCAAACATACATAGTTGTAGTGGAAATAAAAGCAAGGCTGCAGAACCAATTTAAGGATGTCTTTATTTACAAGATACAAATGTTTCATATTTAACAAGAATTAAAGGACTAATTTTACAAGGTTTTCAATTATCTGCCTTTATGATCAAATATACAGATGTTACACTATATATACACTATGTCCAAGTATTATACATTCATACCACTGGAAAATAGGGATGTTTTATTTTTTTCACATTAGAGTCAACTATAAAATTCTGATATGCCTTTTCAAACTTGGTCAACAAGTCAAAAAAAATCAAGACAATTTTTTAATAACACTTAATTGTCCCTTAAAATAGGAAATACCAGTCTGTTTTTACATACAAATGATTATATGCTAATGATATCTATAATATATATGAGTCCTCATATACTGCAATACACAAAACAATTCTGTCATCATAATGGGCTCTAAGGTCTGTTTGTTTCCAAACCTGTCTTTACTTTATGTATTTAGTATTCACTTATTAAAATATACTAAAATTTGATTTTTTTTTTCCAAATTGATCACAATGAATTTTAGGACAAAGGATGACCCTCACCCGCACCCCCCCAAACAAATTAACCATCTTGTAGAAGCCATTTGTTATTAAATCTTGAATACAGAAAAGGCCATGCCCTTAGCTTAAAAAGTTAACTTTAGAGTTAAAAACAGAAGAAAATGATTTATAGAATGAAATTATTTTTTAAAAGATTAAAGGAAAAATAAAGTAATAATAAAATAGTGTCAGCTATAATTTAGAGGCCATGGTCAAAGCCTGGGTACAGGATTCCATCAACAAACAAGTACATAGATGCCTTCCACTTTATTTCCTTGTGGAGTTCAGGACCCTGGAGACAGTAGTCCATCTACCCATTTCCATCTATTCCTTGTTTCAGTTGCTAAGCTCAGTGCTCTCTATATACCTGTAACAAAAGCAAAATTGTTTCTTCCTGTACCCTAGCAAGATTCAGGGCCTTGGCAAAGGTGAATTATAACATTAAAAATACATATGAATATTTTTTGTTAATACTTAACTTAAATTTACATACATTTTGTTCCTTTGGTGAGAATTGATGATTAATAATTTTTACACTTTCACATATAGATATAAAGTCACAGGCAGGGTTTTAAAATAGATATAGTGGTTTAAAACATTTTTCAAGTCTAGTGAACCTATTGTTTGATAGTTATAGAAAAATAAAAACAATTTGATTCTAATGAAACTAAGAATAAAGAACTAAGAGGATCCACTACAGATGTCAACATAATTCTAACAACAGGAACTCTTTAGCCACAGTTCTTATATTCATTCACTCTTGAACAATACAACATTAAAAACTGAAAACACTAAGATAGTCCTGTCTTTCAAATTTTAGGCTATAAATATCATGTGCTTATCTTGGATCTATTAACATGAACATCATTTGATGTAGGAAAGTAACCTTCTAGCAGAGATAACTGCCCAAATAAGACCTGTGCTTCCTAGAAATTTATTTGCTCTTACTTATGCTTACTTGCAATGACAGATCATGATTAACAATGCACTGCGGACATTATGCTCTGAATAACTTAAAGCTTGAAAGATAAACAAATGACATCTGAAGATAATTGGAGAGAAACCTTCTCTGTCAAAAAAGAGGACGAAAAACAACACCGTCATGAACTTCAGAATATTTCTGAGAAAAAGTTTTTAGAAGGCTTCAGTGGCTCTTTGATAACCATGAAGTACCATGGAATTTATGTTGAATTCAGTTCACAAAAAACACAACACAGCTGATAAAACAGAGCAAAGGAAATTAACTGTTTCACTACCTGCATATATCATTTGTAAAAATAAAATACAGTTGATAGTATCTGAAGCATTAAAACAATACCTTCCATTCCTTTCCCTGTGCTCAGCCATTTGACTTTTCACATCACTTCTAGGAAGTTGATTCTTTATATGCTGTGGCTTAGGGTCTTCATATTAAACTTTTAGCATGAACTCATACCTGGAGATCTTTATTGCTTGGCATTATTACGAAAGTGACTAGTGGCATTTTTGATTATTGAAATCTATTTAATACTCAAGATAAAAGTATGCACCATGTCTTATATTTACTAAATGGTGGACTTTCAACAAAAGCAACAATTAAGTTGAAAGTTGGTTTGCTTTTAATGAGTAACAGTTTTATCCAAGACATATCTTCTTAAGTTTGAAGAAAGGACACTTTTCTTAAAGATGACTTTTGGATGCACAAAATTAGAATGTACAACATAATAAGAACAACATAGAATATTTATTTGAACAGGAAAGCAACTGATGCTATTTTCAGGCTCAATTTCTCATGAAACCTCAGTTATCTCAAGAGGTTAATTATTCTAATAATATCTTGGATTAGAGTTTATTTGAATTAATGTTTTGAATATGTATATATGTGCACAGTATCCATGTATGTGTGTTCACATATATTTAGGAAATTGTGCACATGTGTAGAGATCTGAGGTTGATGTAAGGAGACTTCCTTGGTGCCTCTCTACCTCATGTATTGAGGCAAGGCTATTTGCTGTACCTGTACTTGCTGCTTTGGCCATCTGACTAGCGTGCCTGACCAAGACTTCCTGTCCCTGCCTCTGTTGCACTGGGCCATGTTTGCCTGGTCGTTATGTGGGTTCTGGAACTCTGACTGACCTGTTTTTCATTCTTGCATAGAATTTTCCTTAGCTCCAGATTTGAGTTTTTAATAAGTAACTAATATTATTCTATTACTTTTTTCTCCTATTAAAAGTATTAATGATGAGAGAGAGACAGAGAGAGAGAGAGAGAGAGAGAGAGAGAGAGAGGCAGGGAGGGGGGAAGCTACTCACTGTTTGCACTTAGCTAAGAGTGAGACACAGGTAAAAGTGGACAAATCCTCTTCTGGCACTAACATTCCTAATTTTATGAACAAGAAGAACATGCTAACATCTTTTTTATTAGTATCCTTTCAATAATCTAAGTTTTACAATACTGAATATCTATCCACATTACTTCTATTTGAGAATTTGCTGGTAGGCAAACATGTACTCTTGTTGCTGATCAAATAGGGTTTTTTTTTTTTTAATAATCTGATGAAAATCTTCTAAGTGGGATATCCCAATCATTATTCCATTCATGTTTACAAAAGTCATCTTTATTCTGATGTAGTCATTCTATATTTAACTGCTTCTCTTTTCTTGAAATATGAAAAATAAGGTGTACAGTAATTGTTCAATTTTGTCAACAGGCATCCTGCACACCTGTCTCTTTCTCCCACCCAGACACAGCATCAGTGTTGACAACTAGAAGAGAGAAACAACACACAATTTCTTTTTATTTAGCCTTCATATAGTAGGGAATAATGAGTTAGCCTTTTTTGTTTCTGCCATTAGTGGCTCTAAACAGATGATTTAATGTTAATGTTCATATCTGGTATTTCATGAGGCAGGGACTCTCATTGGTTCCCTTGCTCCTTTGGAATAGGGAAAAACAAGAGATACTTCTTATGCATCATGAGTTGTATAAATGTGTGATGGTCTCAAATTCTGAGTACTATACTCTACATCTCAATGCAGACTTGAAGACTGTGTGCAGTGGAGACATTCTTATGGATCCCCAATAAACAGTGCAATAAAAGTGGTAATGTTTGGAGAATGGAAAAGTAAGAAAAACTCCAATATGAGAAAGTATTATGTTAAATAGTAACACAACATAAAATTTTAGTCACAAGCTCAAAGTTCATCTGAAAGTCCACTTGGGATATAAAAAGGGAGAATAATTCTGCACTTTCTTTGATTATTCACATCTCCTGGAAACATGCCATTATCGAATCTGAAATACTGGTTTCAGATCACTTTTCTAGTGAATGATTACACATAAATTTCCTTTACTATCTATCTAGTAACTCTCTTCTCCCAGATAAGCTGGCATATGAAAGACCTGTTTTGTAACTGACAAAAGCAAAGTTCACAGTCATCTTAAGTGTTCATTATACATAGTCCTCATTTAAGCATTCCTAATAGTCTTACAGAAAGGAAAACATTAAACATTAAAAAAATGTTTTCCACATACCCTAGGTCTGTATAAGGACTGATGTATTTTTATTTTCTTTTTTTTTTTTTTTTTTTTTTTTTGAGATAGGGTTTCTCTGTGTAGTCTTCACTGTCCTGAACTCCCTTTGTAGAGCAGGCTGGCCTTGAACTCACAGAGATCCACCTGCCTCTGCCTCCCAAGTGCTCGGATTAAAGGTGTGTGCCACCACCACCTGGCTCAGATGTTTTATACTGTTCAAGTTTTAGGAAACATTTTTGCTCATGCTGATGTTAAGTTACTACGACAATTATGTTATTGTAAAATGTAAAATAATCCATACAATTTTTAATGTCAGGGACCAAAGTGCACTTAAATTGAGAAAAATCAGGGAGTTAAAAATAAGTGTTTAGTTAACATTAATTAAACTCTCATTGTTTATCTAAATAAGTATTAATAGCACCTTCTAAGAGAGGCACTGCTTTAAATAGGTACAGAACAAAAAAATAGTACTCTAAAATACTGTTGGAATTCAAACTATATCCCACACCACATAAATCACTGCTTTTTACTATAAAAATATTAATACACTTGGATTCCAATCAGTTCAACATAAATTATCAAAATTTTTCTTAAGTTTAAAACACTGCTGAGTTCAGAGATAAAATAGGTTTTATATTTAAAAAATGAACCAGAGTGAAAATGAACGTCAAGCTGAAGAGAAAAGCTCATGTGTTCATATTGATTTTCCAAACTATATGTACATAAACTGATTTATATTTTAGATATTTTATTATTAGGGTAATTCTACAAAAACAAGCATTATATTAAGTAAAAAAGTATGACAGCAGCAACTTTTATTTTTTTGTGTTGGATGAAGAACAGAAACCATTTATGTAGCATGAGACTTACAAACTAGACAAGCTCATACAATATTCTAAACTGTCTCTAGACTTTTTACCACAGATCTATTTTGGTTACATGGAGGTATATCTTTCACACCATTGCAAGTCCTACATGTGAACAAGACATTGAAGGATTTCTTAAATGAAAGGCCCATTATAACCAGGTAGTGAGACAGTCAACTTACATTTTTCCCCCTCGAGCCTTGAACAAAATACATATAGTTAAGGAATAGCTTATCAAAAATGTTCCATCTTCCATATTATTTCAGAACTTCAACAGTAGAATGGCTCTGCACACTGATTTTACAGAGTATGCAAACATGAAAAAAAGTTTCTGACAGATATATTTATTAAACCATATTTCTCAATGTAAAGTGCTATAAGACAAGGAAGGACCTGACAATATCTTGAGCTATTTGTCTTACCAGAATCTCCACATTGGCAGCTGCTGGAGTTTAGCATTCTGACTTTTTTTTTGGTCCAGGAAGATTGTTTAAAGTGTCTAGATGCTCACGTGGGCCATCTGGTGTCTCTCCTGTGACAGCTAGAAGGATGATTTTCAGCCATTTCTGTTTCAGTTCCTCAGTGTCTGCAGCAAAGCTGTGCACAGACTTGGACTGAGTCAGTCGGAAACTGTGTGGCAGATCTGCACTCTTAGGCATGTCATCCACAATGTAGCCCAGGAGTGGTATGGTCGCCTGGGCTCTGACATCCTATGCAAAGGACATTGTACATATGAGTATAATACATATTACATCATTACATATGGTCCTTGCTCCTAAAAACTCTCCCTGGTTACTGTTACCACGGATCCTCACTCACAAACTCTCTTTGGATAAAAGGTGTCCATGGGGCCAATGATAATGTTGGCTGAATAAAATGAATAAAGTAGAGCCGATACCCCAATGAGCTAGAAACCACTGGTAGAAAGTTTGCTCCTGTTGGGGAGCTCACTCAAAGCCCATGCAGATCTTCACCTACAAAGGCGGAGGGTGAATTACAGCCATCTCAATGTTTAATCCAGCAAGGCATCACTAAGAATTAATAATTACATATTAATAATTAATACAATAATTAGTATTTTTTAATGGTTCATTCAACTTAATTAGGGAAAGGGAAAACAGCCAAGTAGAATAAAATCAGCAAAGGAGAATAAAATGTATACCTTGGTAGTTTTAGGAATTTTCTAAGTCCTTGATCTAAGATAAGGCTAAAATCTGTCAAATTTTATTCTTTATGTTTTTAAAGGGAATGAATGTATAATTGGTAAGTGTTGTTCACTTTTAAGGCAAAACAATCTATAGACCAGGTTCTGGCTTGTACTGGAACTAAACTGACATTAGAATTAACACCAGGTATCTAGCTTAGCTGTACATATGGGTCACAAAAACTTGTCATTGAATAATATTAGCCCAAGATTTATGTAAACCCTCTGTTCCTTTCAACTACTTTGTTCTTAGGTCTCTATTACTCTATTATCAACAAAATCAACCACAAAATGTCTCAGTGTTTCCTGTCTTTACAAATGGCTAGCTCCCCTCTCTTTATTTGCCTTTGGTTCATTTTCTTCTTACTCATTCCTATGCTCCTTATTCAATTTACCTTTTCTCATATCTTCCAAATAAGAATAAGAGCTGACAGGGGACTAATGATTTATTAAACAAGTAATACACAACTATATGAAGAACCCAATCAACAAAACCAATTTTACTTTTCACTATTTTAAAACTTGGATGGGACACAGTGATGCTGCCTAGTCGCCTTTTTATTCCTGAGGACCAGTGTCCACAAGTCTCCCTCGGTCCTGCCCACATCATTCAACCACACATGCCTTAGTTACCTGAGGAGCACCATACATGTACAGCACAAGGGGGTCTTGCTTGGGGATCACACACCATATTTTCTGCCAAGGTTTTGACTTCTCCATGTACTGGAGAAAACTGCACACCTCACTATTTCCTGATACTTCTGCTGACTCAATCTAGAAAACAGAAAATAAACACAATAAGTCAGATAGGGATGAATGCCTTAAGGAAATACTTATAAAACAGTGTATTTTATATAGCATGTTTCCTTAGGTCACCCTCTAAAAAGGTCATACCTCTTGGGTCATACAGTTAAAAAGCGATATGAACATTTACTAGTTTTTCTATATCATAAGATGAAAAAAAATCTAGAGTTATCTTTAACTCTATATTACTAGACTTTGTACTTAAATAGGGACTATATACTGACTGTTTACTATATAGACTTTCTGCCTGCTTGAAATGTGTAATGTTTACACCAACATCAAGAAGTCAAGTGTTCTTACTGTTTCTAAAGCTCGGGGTTTTTAACAGGTTCTCCTAAGGATATATAGTCAAAATTTGATGTGCTAGAACTGAGCTCAGTCAACCTGAGTCATCACTGAACCTATGGCCTTAATGTTTCAATAATGCAAGAACATGAAGTCAAGAAGGCAGGATGTGACTATCAATCACCCTTAATCCTCAGGTAATTAGAAGCATCTCATTAGAGCAAACTTTTGAAAAATTCCTTAGTTTTCTGCTTCGCTTACTAATATATTAAGTATGGATGAATGGGAAACAAAAAACATTTAGCTAAAATGGTTTATTAGAAGTAAACTGTTTTGCTTCTATTCCTTTGTAAAAATCTTAGGATAGTGCCACTCAGTTTTGTCCATAGGATACGAGGGAGGTAAGGGTGTGGCCTTACTTTATGCCAACTAGTATGTGCTCAGAATAGTAGTCAGCAAACTTTTTTGGAAAAGGCCAGAGTCCAGATCAAAGCTATAATACAGGTACTTACATAAAAAAAGAAAACAAATCCTCACTGATTTACTTTTATAAAATTAAAAACACTTTTCATAGGTAGACTTTTATATGATCTGGCAGAAGGCAACATTTTTTCCCCCTCAAAGTCCTCAAACAACAACACACAAACAAGGCATGATGCTATATGCCTATATCCCAGTACTTGGGAGGGAAAAGGAAAAGGATCAGAGGTCCAGGGTCACTCTTGGCTAAAGTCAAGGCCAGCTTAGGCTTTCTGAGATATTGTCTCAAAGCAACAACAGCAACAAAAATGTGACTTCTGACGTACCTATAGTCTTCATTCTCATCACAAGTGGATCTGTTATTAACACGTGACTGTGTGCAGGTCCGCTGGGGTGTGCCCAGGGATAACTACACTGAAAAGACCCTTCTCAGAGTGACAGGAATTTCAGCTCCACAAATCCACATAGATGCACCATGGGCATGGTGACCTGCCTATAATTCCAGCCTTGAAACATGGAGACAGAGGGACTCCCAGCTGCCTACTAAGACTGGCCACAATACAGCCAGGAGCTCTGAGTTTGTTGAGAGGCCCCGAATCCATGAGTAAGGTGGGAGAGCAACTGAGGGCAGTTGCTGATATAAACGTTGGGTCTACATAGTCACAAATACACGTGTGTACACATACCTCAAAACGTGTGCTCATACACTTGGAAGAACATGCAGATATACATATAAACACTATAAAAACATACAAAAATGCAAAAAGAATTTAAAATTCATTGAGTTAAATACCTTAAGTTTTGTCAATAAAAATTTATTTTCTCCCTTAAGATATTTCTTTAAAATCATTGTTTTGGGCTCTTGGCCTGTAAAAATGTTTCCACCAATCTGCTTACAAAAATATTGACTACCATTCTAAAGCACACAGTATACTAGCTGGCACAGGGTAAGGGCTCAGACATGCTCTTGGTGTGTATAGGCATGCTTAGTTTCTACTTACAGTCATATTTTTTATTCGATTATATGTATTGACCCAATTAATGATTTCTCCCCCAGCATAACATTTTCTAAAAAGCTAAAAAAATTTTTTTTAATCAATGCAGCCTAAACCTTCTCTTCCAAAACCACAGTATGAGTCCCATGGTGCTTATTACACTAATCAGTTACTTCCAGTAAAGCCTTGAGGTGTGATCCTGGGAGCTAATGAAAAGTAATGCCTCATTCCTTCTGCCTATGAAAGCCTCATCTTGGGCTGTAATACAAGAAATATCTATATACTAGGAAAATTCAGAATTACAATTTTAGCTTGTGGGCTTTTAATTTAACATCAAATGAGCATTAAAGTTTAAGATCCTTTCTCAGGTAACAAATACCTTCTGTATATTTGCTTATAAATGCTCAGTACACATTATTGGTTTTCAACATTATTAATAAACTAAGTATAATTTATGACTTTGGATGCAAAAAAAGCTAATCCTATCTCAAGGTGATCTTGATCTTACTACCAACAAGGAGTTATACAAATTATTTTTGTCAACACATTTTTCAATGTATATCCATTTCAGATACAAGCTACTTTAGAGTTCCTTGGTGGAGTCTGAATTAGCTCTAAATTATGAGTCAAACTGACTTGAGATGGGCTTTTACAGTAATGTAGTTGTAAAACAGCAGTCCCTGGAAATTATATAACATAAAGAACTGGCTCCTTTAACATGGTGAGCTGAAGTAATGTCTTAGGAAATAAAAAAGTACTTTATCTAAGTTTGAAAATATTTATGCAGTGCTTTTCAACATTAATATGATGGAATTGAAAGAAAACATACAATAATTTGTACCCCCCAGCTTTCTATATAATCAGACAGGATTCCAAGGTCAACAAACTGAAATAAAAGCATGACTCCCGCTCACTGTTAACCTAAATGACAATGCACGGATTCCTTATGACTAAGAGAATCTGTTATCTAAAAATAAAAGAATTTACTATTTTTACCTCTAAAATCCCTTTTCTTTTCTTTTCTTCACTGTCTGTGAATCCACTTATTATCTGATAACAGTCTTTACAAACTTTGTTCAATCTTCCACCATCATACTCAAGCTGAGCTTTGTAGTCAGAACATTTCCAACAAACCACCTTCAATTTTAAAAAGGATATTCAAAATGAATAATCATAGTTAAGACAACTTTTAGGACATATTAATGCATATAAGAGAAAGATAAACATAAAACTATTATTTTTATTAGCCTAAGACTATTTCAAAAGATGTTGATTATATCAAAGTATTCTAACAATGTTCGTGACAGATTTTAGTACGTTTATCCTACATTATATGTCTAATATCCACTTATGAGTGAGTATATAGCATGTGTGTCTTTCTGCTTCTGGGATACCTCACTCAGGATGATCTTTTCTAGTTCCCACCATTTGCCTGCAAATTCCATGATTTCCTTGTTTTTAATTGCTGAGTAGTATTCCATTGTATAAATGTACTACAATTTCTGTATCCATTCCTCTGTTGAGGGATATCTGGGTTGTTTCCAGATTCTGGCTATTACAAATAAAGCTGCTACAAACATGGTTGAGCAAATGTCCTTTGCTACACCTATGCCAGTGTCACCATAGTAGCATATGCTACAGGGCGGGGGATACGCTTTCTTTGGAGATTCGCCCCCTGGAAGATCCCTGGCAGACTCATCTCACTTGAAAAAGAGATGTGTTCTGAGATTTCTACGCTTCTTCAGTTGTGGCTCTGGGGCTGGAATAATGAATTCTTTGATCTTTCTCTGTGACTCCTAAAAGAGCACAACTAATTTTATAAAGAAATTTATCATTAGTAGATTGTTAAAGGCTTTAATAAAAATAATAAGCTTAAGAAAGGTAATAAATTAGATTTAGTATTAATAGGCATTAAAAATAGTAAAAAAATAATAGGCTCCTTTTTAAGAAATAACAGCATGAGAGGTGCAGCTGGCGAGAGTCTCCCCTCCCTTCAGTGCCTTTTTCCTAAGGAAGATCATAAATCTTGGGCTGGACATATGGGAGGAGGGTTAACAAAGGTGTAGTTAGATTTTGATATAGAGAGGGATTTTGGCAGGCATCTGACTTAGCTCCTGACTTTCCTCTTCACTGGTTAGAAATAATGAAACTATATTTGAGGTTTCTTTTCCTTTGTTTGCTCTTATCAAAAAGTTTTTAGGCCAAGATTACTTGTGGGCACTGCTTTATGTTTGACTGCATTTCGAGTTAAAATGTAAACTTTGTATTCTTGGTAAAAAGTCTGAATGTTCTGGGAAGTATGCCAATTTTAAGGTGCCTTTTGTATAAAAATACTAGCTTGATTTCAGCAAAGTTGCAGCAGAGTCAAAACCATAAAGGTGTCTCTATCTGTCAATTCTTTGCCGAAACCGTGTCTTCCTACCCAAAGCCCTCGGACGACGGGAGCCCAAATGGGTCCGTCAGTGGCAGTCCTTGTTGTATACTTGAGCATCTTTTGGATATATGCCTAGGAGTGTTACAGCTGGATCTTGAGGAAGCAGTATTCCTAATTGTCTGAGAAAGCACCAGATTGATTTCCAAAGTGGTTGTACAAGTTTACATTCCCACCTCAATGGAGGATGGTTCCCCTTTCTCCACATCCTCTTCAACATGTTTTGTCACTTAAGTTTTTGATCTTACATGATGGGTGTAAGATGAAATCTCAGGGTCGTTTTGATTTGCATTTCCCTGATGACTAAGGACGATAAGCATTTCTTTAAGTGTTTCTTTGCCATTCGATATTCCTCTATTGAGAATTCTCTGTTTAGAGCCTGTTTCTTGTCAGTGCCACTAAAGTTCCTTTTTGTTGACAGCATTGAATTGCTTTTAATAGAGATTTGCATGATTACTTCTCCATTTCCTATAAAACTCTAATGAAGATTGTCACAGAATATTTTGTTCACTACACACAACAGTTACAGAATATGAATGAGTAGATGACAATAACGCAAATGCATGTGAGTAAAAATGGTGCTTTTCATATTATAATGGTCTAGAAATTTTCTAGATTTAAGTAATTCTTTTCTTGCTTAGGAATTTAAATTTCCCTCAGTCTTATAGTAGATAAAGTTTATTTTAAAATGTATATATGTATAAATAAAAAATTTTGAAGTAGATTCATAGCAGTTGAAATACACGCACACATACACACATAAATGGTCAAAGGCTAAGGTTGTAGATCAGCAGTAGAACACCTGTTTAATGCTCAAAGCCTTGGGTTCAATTTCTTCTCAACTTTGATAAATACCACGGTTTCCTCATAATTACAACAAAATTACTTTGGAGGTTTAGTATTAGTGATGTATCTGTAAACTCAATTCAACTATTTTATTTTTAAATCATATCCTTGTATTTGCTAATCTATATGAAAACATTTTATCTGTTTACCAAAGTTCAAGTATGCCAGTCATTTTAAACAAACTCAAAGATGAACTTAAACAGTTTAATTTTGATTACAAACTGCGTCACTAAGTTTTCTCTAAGTGTCTGGAAAAAAGATGCAGGAAAATTTAAGTATAAAGGAGAATGAGCTAAGAGTTATCTATCTAAATTGTATACAAATAACATATTAGATCATAACATTTTTACTCAGTCTTAAGAGAAAGGGTGTCATGTTTAACTTGGTTCAAAACTCCCCTCTAAAAGTACTACTTTTCCCACTGCAGCAACTTCCTTTTACACCTTTTCCTCTCCTTTTTTTCAAATGAAACTCAGTTCAGTGGTTGGCCAAATCATATGTTAGCAATGTACCAATTAGAAATATCTCTTTGATAAATGCGTTTCTCAGAAAAAAAATCAATAGTACGTAGGTACTATTAATGGACCATACAAAAGTCATTACTAAGCATGCTTTGACTTTTGCTTCTCTCCACAAGATAGTCTTTATATTTTTGGTTATGAGCCTAGCTTATAATGGCTGACCCATCTCTCCAACCCAAGATAGACTTTGTAGATAGTTCTGTGAGATTTTTGCCATAGTAGAACTAGATTATAGACACAAAGCAAATATAATTTTAATGGTTCAATTCTTTGCATTAAAAATGCAAAAAATGAAACAGCAATTCAATGAATAGATAAATCAAAGAAAAAATGGTGAGTTGAAAGTGTAATGTTATGTGAATAGGGAAAACCCACATTTAACAGACGAGAAAGTCCTTGAAGCATAAATGACACAGAATAGGGGAATCTAACACTCATTATGCCAGAACTTGAGAAAGAAGTGTAATGAAGTATCAACAAAACACTGGCATGCAATTACAGAAGTATATACACACATACATACATACACACACATACACACACTCACAAAAGAACACTAGAAAGCACAACTGGAAACAATTAGCAAGAGATTTCACCTATTCAATGTTTCTTCAGATACAGGCATTACTGAATTCTAAAATTACACAAGAAATGTTTGAACAAATTAAGCAACAGTAACAAAAACAATAAAAAATAATTAGAATTGGATAGATTTAGAAGCAAAACAAATTAGAAATAAAAAATATTCAAAGAATAAGCAAAAGTAAACTAGATACAACTAAGGAGAATGCACAGGATGGCAGGGAAGTAAACTCATCTGTTTTTTTATATCACTTGTGGCTCACACATCCACCTTCATGGGTGCTCTTTATCTTCTTTACTATTTAAACCAATTTCTTTTGACAATTTATAAAAGACACCTTCATGGGTGTTCTTTATCTTCTTTACTATTTAAACCAATTTCTTTTGACAATTCAAACAAGACCCTTAAATTTGTTCTCGATGGCTTGGTCTCCATATACCTTTCTAGCCCCAGTTCTTGCCATTAGCCTAGTATTAACTCCAGTGGCAAGTAATTCATTTCCACCTCAGCATGCATTCTGCCACATCATTATGCTGTCTAAGAGGCTGCCATGCCACAAAGGAGGTCACTGGGACCACAGTACTAGGTCTGCTTAGCCACCCTCAGAGACAAATAGAATTAATTCCATTGTACCTCTACTTCTGTGCCAGAGTTTCTATGTATTATCCCAGATTCACCCTTGCTTTTTTCATCACATTTATTTTCCATGAATCTTGTTTTCTGCTTCTCTGGCCTGTATTGCTGAATTCTGTTATAAAAAAAGAATCCTTGCTGATAAGCTGACTAGTGTCTGTTTGGATTTCTAACTAGAAATCTCCATTAAGCCAGGAGGTGTTTGGCTTACCACATTCTTTCTCTTTATGGGTCAGCACAGCACTTTCCCCTGAATCAGCCCCAACAGGTTTGCTAAGTGATTAGTATTGGTTTCTTTGTTTCCAGGCTGCTGGTTTTCTTTCACCTATATTGTTACTAACAACTGTAACCACCAGAAAGTTCACTCACATGTCCGCATGCTCTGCAGTGATGCCGCCTTCTTGTCAGTGCATTGAAGGACTCTTTGCACTTCATGCACATTGTTACTTCATTATCCCGTATCCATCTCGGAGCTCTTTTTCCTAGCTCTGCAGTCTAAATGGGAAAGACAAGTTGACTCTCAATAGAAAAAGTTATTATCTCTTCTAAACAGCACACTACCAATGCTGCTCAAACCATGTTCTGACACTCAAGATCTGGGAAAGAGAGTAAAAATTTCAAAGCACTACAAGGCATTTACTAATATATCCAGCTAAGAGAGATGACTTTTCAAACCAATTCTGGTATTGAAAGGTAAAAGATTTGTTACTGAAATGATTAGATAACTCTTTTGAAAACACAAGAGATGGAAGATCTTAAAATTCAAAACTTACAGAAACTTCTAGGGGAATGTCATTATCCTTTGCAATAGCATTTCTGAAGGTTTCATGCCTTTGATTAAAAGCATCAATACTGTCTTGAAGGGCCTAAAATATAAATTCAAAATGTACATTACAATATCATATACACATTAATAAATATACTTTATTACATAAATAACTATAGTGAGAATCATCTGAAAAGTTAAATGAAAGTGTTTTTATAGTGTATATTAAAAATCTAAATATATGTATATATTTAAAAATTTATTTTATGAGTTGCTTTGCCTGGCATATGTATCCATTTTATACCCCATGTATGTTTGGTGTCCACAAAGGTGAGAAGAGGGCATTGCATCCTTGGAACTGAAGTCAGAGATGATTTTGAGCTACTATTTTAAGTTCTGGGAAATAACCCTAGCTTCTGCAAGAGTAACAAGAGCTCTTAACCACTGATCTATCTCTCCAGGCCCCAATGTATATATTTCTTATGTACTGAAGTCTAAAAAACAAAAATTAAAATAAGTTACCTTGATCCATTCTTCTTTGTCTTGCTCAGAACTAAAAGAAAACAAAGCTAAAATGAGTGAAGAAACCATTAAGAATTACAACTTGTATATGAGAGCATGCTTTAATGTCACTCTTTGGGAATAATTAAAGAGACTCTAGTTCTTCTTGTTCTTAATACAGAGTTAGGCTGCTATCTAACTTTGGTACCCATACAGTTTGATAGTGAACCACGACACTAACTACTGTGTAGTTGTAACTGCCAGATGATTCTGTTTGATGTATTAGAAGTTCAAAGATAATATAATTTTAAAAATGACAATTAAAAACCACTAACACCTAAACTCAGGAAAGGTTATGATTATTCTTATAATCCTAAAAATTATCTTTGAGTACAGGCTCAGATGGATTCACAGCAGAATTCTACCTTTTAAGAAAAAAACCTTTGACAAAATTCAACATTTTTTTCTTAATATAAGTCCCAGAGAGAGTAGGTCTGGAGAAACATATCTCAATATAATAAAGAAAACATATCTCACTACAATATAATAGGACAAAGCCCCAGCCAACATCATCCTAAGTTAGAAAAACTCACTGCAGCAATGACACAGGAGTACATGCCCACAAGCCTAGCTCTAGATGTTTGGACTCTGAGCCCTCTTTGTTCACCAGCCACTCTTGCCAGGTGTTTCTTTCTCCATTTGCCTTCTCTGGTCCCACCAACTGTGTCCTACTCTACACCCACCATATATCTTCATATCAGCAGGTTTAAACCAGGTTTATTCACTAGCTGCTTTTGCCTGCTGCCATCATTACACCACTGCCAAGCTTTGCATGGATCAACTGAACAGCTTATCTACCACCTTTACCTGGGCTAGCTCCTGTCACATATATCATGCACTGGCACAATCTAAGGAAGGCCAAATTCACACATCAGACACATAACCAAAGAAAAGCGTCAACATGTCCAGGTCAAATTGCAAAAACAAACAAACAGACAGACAGACAGACAGACAGACACCATGAATGGCCAAGGCAACATGTTTCCTCCCAAATCCACTAGTCCTATAGAAGTGTTCTCTAATGAGAACTACCTAGATGAAACCCAGGACATAGAATTTAAAAGAATCATACATTTTATCAATGAATTCAAGAAATTTAATGAAGATACTCCCTTAACTCCAAGAGGATAACAATAAATATGAGTCATGTCCAAGATACAAATACACACTATATAAAATAATGAAGGTAATTGATTTGAAAACTGAATTCAATGAAAGAACACAAGCTAAAATGAGGGTGAATATAAAAATGTAGTATCCCAATTAGGGAACTCAGGAGAAAGACTGACAAGAAGAATCCAGAAGAGAATGGCATATCAGGCTCATCAATAAAGAAGAGGCTATAGATCAAATAAACAAAACATATGAAAACTTTTAGAAAGTACAGAAAAAGAACACACACCAAACAGGAGAATCCACCAAAAGACAAATCAGAATTATAGGCATAGATAAAAAACGATAATCTAAAATCACAGGTATAGACCAGATCTTTAACAAAATCATAGAAAAAAAAAAGTTCTTCAAATGATAAAAGACACACCCATACAAGTATAAGAAACACACAGAACTGTAACTAGACAACCAGAACAGAAACTCCCTATGATGCATCATATTTAAAACACTAAATAAACAAAACAAAGGGAAAAAGAAAAGCTGTAAGAGAAAAGCACACAAGTTACATATAAAGGAAAACCCATTAGAATAACAGCTAATTTCCCAGTGGGAACTCCAAAAGCTAGAAAAGGCTGAAGCAGTGAAAAGCTACTGTAAAGCAAAGGACAGTGTCGTCAGAACAAAATGACTGCCTACAGATTGGGAAAGGATCTTCACCAACCCTATATCTGACAGAGGACTAATATCCAGTATATATAAGAACTCAAGAAGTTAAACAGCAACAAATGAAGTAATCCAATTAAAAAATGGAATACAGAGTTAAACAGAGAATTCTCAATAGAGGAATATCAAATGGCAGAGAAACACTTAAAGAAATGTTCAATGTCCTTAATCATAAGGGAAATGCAAATCAAAATGAACTCTAAGTTCTAAAAGATGAGGACTGCCAACTGGACTACAGCACCTAACAACATGATCTGCCACAGTTAAAGGAGAAAGAAAAACTTCATATGACCTGAACACCTAGAAAAAAAAATCATCTACATCAAAAAAATACTTGGAAAAACTCACTTCAAACCAAACAGAAGAATGAGCAGAGCCAAGACACTCTAGAAAACAGACAAACAAACAAACAAAAAAAAACAACAAACACAAAATGAAGCTAAATTAATTAAATGTAAGCATGGCTAAGAACACAAAGTAGCAAAGAAAGAAAAACAAAAATACAAAAACATGATGAAGATTCACACACATCTTTCAATAATAACTCTTTAACTGTTTACAGGCATGGTTTCAACTTTCCAATCAAAAGACTAGGTTAGCTGAATGTGTTAAGAAACAAAATTTATGGTGGCACACACCTGTAATCCCAGCACTCAGAGAGGCAGAGGAATGGTGGATCTCTGTGAGTTTGAGGCTAGCCTGATTACAAAGTGAGCCCAGGACAGCCAAGGTTACACAAAGAAAGCCTGTCTTGAAAAACAAAAACAGAAAAAAAAAAAAGAAACAAAATCTATTATTCTGTTTATAAGAAACCTAACTTAGCTTCAATGATAGGTACCACCTTAAAAATGACAAGATGGAAAAAAATATTCCAAACAAATAAAATCAAGAATCAAGGAGGTGTTGTCAGCCCAACATCTGAAAAATGACTCAAACTAAAACTAATCAGAAAAGACAAAGAAGGGCAATTCATTCTAATCAAGGGAACAATTAATCAGGCAAAGATTATAGTATTAAACATATACACCAACCTCTGGTGTATCCAATTTTATAAAGAACCTACTATTGGAAATAAAGGCCCAGATAAACCCAAACCTAATAATAATAAATAATCTTAATACCCTACTTTCTCCAATAAATGGGTCATCTGGACAAAAAAAACAACAACAAGCAAACAAAACCCGAGGATCAAATGGTATCTTACTTTGAATGTACCTTACATATCTACAGAAAATTCCATCCAAACATCAAAAAAATACATATTCTATTCAGCAGCACATGGAAGCTTCTCTAAATTAGACCACATGCTAGAACACAAAACAAACCTTAACAAATACAGAAAAAATGAAACAATCCCATGTATTCCAAATCTGAATATTATGCAATAAAGCTTAAAATCAACAACAATCAAAATTCTAATAAATGTATAAACTAATGGAAATTTAAAAACTCACTACTGAGTGATTAATGGGTCAAAGAAGAAATCAAGAAACGTAAAAAGGAACCCAAACTGAAGTCATTTTGAATAAAACTTCCATTTTGAATAGGAGTCAAATAAAGTTTAAGTTCCCAAGACCTCCCTAGATAAATAACATCCTGCTTGGCAGAGAGAGACATATATGTGGATAACTGATACCTTAGTTGGCCAAGTTGAGACATGAATGCTAGGCAAGTCACCACATCACAGCTAAATAACCCAACCAATAAGAACAGGAAAAGTGTACCACAAAGACATGTTCCTAAGAAAGTCCCCTATCGCTAAATCCTGATTGGTGGAAAAATAGAACTGTAACTTGGCACAGATGTTTGTGGCTTTCAAGCTTAAAAGCTCTGTAACATTCTGGCTTGGTGGGTGGGTGAGTCAGTGGGGAGATCCACAGTTCACCTCCTGAGGTGGTACCAATCAATCAGTAGCAGCTTAATTACAATAAATTTTTTGTCATCTTCATTGACCTGGTATATGAGTCATGTTGGATCTAAGCAGACCTCATGACAAAAAGAATTAGAACTAAGTGAAAATGAAACACAACAAAACAAAACTGGGACTCACATAAAAGCATTTTGAACAGGAAAGTTCATAAATCCTACAATAAAAAAAAGATTACAAATAAATGATTTATTGATGCAACTCAAAGAATTTGGAAGAAGAACAAAACAATAGATAGCAAGAAATAATAAAAAATCAAAGCACAAATTAATGAAATAGAAACATAGAAAATAATACAAAGAATCAATGCTTCTAAGAGGTGGTTTGTTAAGACCAAAAAAAAAAAAAAAAAAAAAATCAGATCCAAACTAACAAAGTCAGACATGAACAAATGAACAGGGAAATATTACAATATTCTAATAGACCAAAATAATTCAGATAAGGGAATACTTTAAAAACCTGTATTCTATTAAGTTGGAAAATCTGAAGGAAATGGATGGATTTCTTGAGTCACTAAATACATTAAAACAAGAAGGAATGGGAATCTAAACAGACTCATAACAAAAAAGAAATTTAAACAGTAATATAATGGTGATGATGATCATCATCATCATACCAGCAATAACAACAGGCTTCCAGCTAAATGCAAAGCCTAGTCCAGATGGATTTACAGCAGAATTCTACTAGCCTTTCAGAGAAGATTCATAGTCAATATTTTTAAAATTACATAAAAGATAGAAATTGAAGGGTCACTTTGAAACTTGTTTTATGAAGACATATTACTCTAAAACAAACAAACTAACTAACTGAAAAGAAGTAAAGATAAAATAAAAACCCAAAACTTCAGATCAAGATTACTAATGAGCATAGAAGCAAATATATAGACACATATCAAGAAGACCATCCACTGTAATCATGTTGGTTTTATCCTAGAAAAGCAGATTTGGTTCAATATGCACAAGTCAATAAATGTAATAAATAACATAAATAAATTTTAGGCAAAAATCACATGATCATCTCAAAAGATGGAGAAAGAGCATTTGACAAAATCCAACAAGCCTTAGTGGTAAAAGTCCTAAATAGAGTAGGACTGGACCATAACACAATCCCTTTACATTTTGAAATGAGACAGGACTGTCCACTATCTCAGATCTTTTCAAAGTAGTGCTTGAAGGACTTGCTGGAACAAAAAACAAGAGAAGAAAGTTAAGAGATGAAAATAAAAAAGG